ACCAGAATGCTTTGGCGATAGTACCTCATGCCTTGATCACCAAGAAGTTGGACTACTGTAATGTGCTCTATGATGGGCAGTCTTTGGAGACAACTCAGAAGCTGTAGCTGGTCCAGAATGCTGCAGCTAGACTGCTGACATGTCATCCATGCCTCTGCAAGATAACCATAATTCTTAAATTGTTGCCCTTCTTATCAATAGGTTTCAGGGCCCAATTCAAAATGGCGTCATCCAAGAAATGCCTTGGTATTAATGGGAAAATAGCCCATTGTTTGAATAAAAATATTTTGGCCTCCAAAACCTATTTTCACATATAAGCACTAGAGCTAACAGCACAAAATTTAATTTAAACATGGATAGGAAAACCAAATTCTATACAGCTTAACACTATAGCACTACAAAGCCATATACAGCACAGCACTGGGATACTTTATACACCATCTTGTCAAGTTGAATACACTTGCCTGGGCTGGAAATCTTGAGAAGGCTTGCTGAGAGTCCACGCATACACAAACAAGATGTGGATGGGGCACAGACCACACTTTCACTCCCACATTTTGGAACTTACTTCCTCCAGTCTAGGCTCTACCCCATGTTCTGTAAGGCAGTGAAGACGCTATGCATTTATCCCTAATTATTATGGGAGTGACATTTGATGATGGCTTGGTGTGACCTGTATTAATTTTATGACTTATTTTGTTACAAGTCATTGTGTCTTTCAGTTGGGGAAGGTAACAATAAATTTAAAATAAACGAATAAATCATAGTTAGATAAAGCTATGAAATATCCTATTAAATGGAATATATACAAGGAGAAGAGAGGGAATACAAAGGAATAATGCTTAATTCCGAGCCTTCCAAATGTTAGCTAATTTGAAACTTTGGATGACTGATATGGTCAGATATGCTGAAACTTAATCCACAGAAGACAGAGGTACTTCTGATTGACTAAATAACTGGATCCCACATTTGCGCTCCAGAAATCAATCCAGAACGGGATCCCACATTTTACATCACCTGCACTAGTACATAAAATATATGAAAAATGCCCAGAGTGATTCTTCAAGCAAAGGAATTTCTTTATTCCTTGTGGAGAAGTTTGCTATTGACTCAAATTCAGATTTTGTCCTTTATATCCAAAATTTGCTGAACTGAAGTCTGTAAAATCAAGGAATTACCATATCAAGGCCAGGAACTCTGACATTCCCTGCCAAAATTAATTCTAACTGCATTACCCCTCTATCAGCTTTCTTCTAAAAAGCACTAGATATCTTAAGGTGATTTATGACAAAGAGAGAGAGGGGTTAAAATTTTTGTTTTAATTGGATTTTGTTTGAATTGGGTATTTGTAATTTTGCTTTGCAGTATTTACCTTTATTTTATTTGTAGCTGCCTTGAGCTATTTTTTCCCATCTTCCAGTTCGAAGACCAAAGTCTGATCATTCTTAAAGCTGGTTGTGGTGCTAGGAAGTATTTATTCCACTTCTGGAAGGTTGGAATACATATTTCTAAAATTACACTTTAGCTAACAGATCAATTATTCAGCAGCTTCGAGTGGAAAGGCTGGACTTGTAATGGTGAAATCCTGACTCCTGAAATCTTGGCTTTTCCAGAAAATCACAGAACATAAGCCTCTATTACAGTACCTCCACAGTTACAAGTCATGATTCATTCTGCATGATTCAGATTTATAGAAATTGCTCTTTCTCTCTATTTTAAACATAGTTACTTCAACCATAACTAGACTTGATCCACTACCTTTAGCAATTGCCCAAAACAGCATATTCGTGTAGGCAATTTTTCTAGCCACAGGTGCTTCTTTTCTTGCCAATAAATGACTTAATTACAGAATTTGTGGTGCTTGTCAATGGTTCAGAATGTATTCAAAGGTGATTAAATGAATTAATGGCTACTCTTCTTGATGTCTTTTTAAACATTACTTGCTGGGAAATGAAAGGAAGCTATTGCCTTCCTGTCCAATTTTGTGAGTCTTCCCAAACCAATTAGGTTGGCTACTATTTAAAATAGAATATTAGGCAAAATGGAGATAGCAGAGGCTCTGTTAGGACAATATTTCAAGAGCACATTCCAGACTGCATACAAAGATGATGGCAGAAGACTCCTCCACTTCTTAAATGGCATCCATCCAGTGTTACAGGTTGGGAGCAAACCATCAGAACACAGCACATCTGTATACTCTCCTTGCTCAGAGGACAACTGAGAGACAGAATACACACAGTGCTCAATTTGTGCTTCTTTTCATGCTTGATCTGTAATTATTTCCTTTCCAGGACCCTGCATAGATAGGGAAACAGGGAAATGGCAGGAAGAGCTGCTCTTGTTATTTTTCATCATAGCCTTTAAAGCAATGTTTCTCAACCTTGACAACCTTAAGCTGTGTGGACTTCAACTCCCAGAATTCTCCAGCCAGCATGCCGGCTGGGGAATTCTAGAAGTTGAAGTTCATGTTTAACATTGCCAAGGTTGAGAAGCACTACTTTAAAGGCACTAAAAAAGAAACTGCTTGAAGAAATAATTTTGCCACTGTCATATTACTCTGTTTGAATCTTAGAAAATTGCCTTGCCTACAAGAAAGTTAGCTAACTGAAACAAAGACTTTCACAATCTCCAGCTTACAAGGCAGAATTGCCATTTTGCCAAATAGATTTTCCTTCTGTCAGCATGGGTTTGGTTGACAGAATTCTGTGTTCAGTATGATATATATCTTGGTATAAATGCTATACTTCCCAAAATGAAAATCTGAATTTTTCAGAAGGACAAATTAAGTGCTGCCAAGTCAGCTAATGCTGTTGTTTATGAAGCATATCCCCAGTCTCTCTCACACCCACACACCAAACTTGGCTACTCCTTATGATGAATATTCCCCTCCCCTTTATATTATTGTCTCATCTCCATGCACTTCCTCACATCCCACCCACCCTCTCCCTAAATCAAATTTGAAGTTCCTCCCCATAGGATTGCTGTATGTCCGATTACATCCTTCCTCTTCTACTTAACTCAGAAACTCTCCCTGCATTGTACTAGCCTGGTTCTGACCCCATCCCTTGTTCTATCATCATTGTTCCCATCAGGAACAGAGACTATTCCACTCTTCCACTCAGTAGCCTGCATTAATTTATTGTATGTTCCCATCATTTTTCAGAGGCTGTTCCAATGTTTTTCAAATACAAAATCCAGTGATATTAAGTATTATATAATGAAAATCCAGAAACACATTGTCTAATTTATTGAAGGCCCCCCACTAATTTGAAGCAAAACAAATAGATAATAAAGGGAAGAATTATCATTTAAGTGCACTGACTTAATTTCCTTATCTCAGCAAAGTTTCACACTATTTAATACATGTGCCAAAAATCTGACAACAAAAATCTTTATTGCAGGCTGGAACATAATTGACTCCCCTGATGCAGAAAGACAATAGAGCTTCTGAGGTCCTTTTTGCATTATGAGACACACATATGTGACCTTTACATTTGCCTAAGGAGCAGGTAGATGAAATATGATGTTTGGTCCTACTTCTGTCCACTGATTATTCAAATACCTGTACTTTTAAAAATCCTTTTATTAGTATTTTATTAGCAAAAATGAAATAGTGTCCATGGCAGAAGTTTTAGCTCTATCAATATTTACCTCCATCAGTATTTGTGATATGATCTCCACATCATCCAAGTGTGGCAAATGAAAATGATGTGGCTGTGAGATTAGGCTGAAGCTGCCATAACTAAGGATGAAACAGGCATGTAAGTAGTGAGGACAAAAAGCCAAAAATCTTGTCTAAAAGATCCTTTTGGGGAGGTAGATAAGAAGGAAACAAGTCACTAAGGAAACAAAGGAAAAAATGTCACCTGAACCAGATAAAGGAAGTTGGGCCTGAGCACATGGAACGCCTCCCCCAGCAATCCCATCAACAGGTACCAGACTTGTAACTTAACAAAGCAAGAGTAGCTGCCAGTCTTGTTGCCAGTCTTGTGAATCAACAAAGCAAGGACTTTTGGGGATAAAAGGGGTTTCTGAAGCCCATCCACTCCTGAAGTCATCTTTGGATCCAGACTCGGCAGCTTCCGTCCCCCTAGCTAGTGCCTGGCAGTCGAGTTGAGAAGGATGTGGGTAAGTGTGCATGAGTGTGTCTGTATGTGTGTGAGAAAGAGCAAATGTACATTGTAACCAGTAAAGTTTTGCTGTTACTTTAAATTCACTGGGTCTCTGTGTATTCCAAAGAGCCTATTGTGCCTCAGTGTTCGGTTGGAAGTGATTGGGTGTGTCCCTAATTATTTCCCGGCTGTTGCCCAAGGCTGTGTGTCTTGTCTGCTCTAGCCCCACTTATCTGGAAAACCAAGGTAGAAAGCGGGAGGGGGGGGGAGGCTTACAAGATCCCCATGCCTCAACAGACTGTGAGTGTGTGAGTGACCATAAGCCAAATCTGGGAGTGCCTGAAACATAGCTCCTTTAAGGAAGCAACTTTTTTTTTATTATTAAACATTTTAAAAAAGAATATACATAAAGAAAGATAAAAGACATGAAAAAATAAAATGGTAAAGTACAAATAATGAAATACAAATAAGTAAATAAGAAATCTAAAAATGCCAAGCGATTACAGTTTTCCAATATATTACTTATGAAATTATAAATTTTTTAAAGAAAAAATTAAGAACCGTTAAGCTTTAAGCTACCTATCAACACTAATATAGCATATCTAACTAAAATTACAAGCTAACAGTACTAGAAATCTAGTTTCCTATAAAGCCGAAATATAGACTCTCTATATAGAAAAAAACCATTTTTTGAGCGGGGTAACAAATTCATGTATTAAATTATAGTCCAAGAATGATTTCCATGGAATCAACTCTTTAATGGAACTGTGCCACTAATATCAATATAGTTCTGTCACTTCTCATTTTTCTTTACTGGCAGCTCTTCAGAAAACAGCTCAAAATGCTCACTATTTACAAAAGAAAAATGAAATTACATAAGCATCTTACCATGGGCCATGCGATGAAACCAGTAGTATCCAAAATCTACTCCAATGAAGGTGAAATACCATGTCCATGATGAATCCCATGGTAGTTCTATGATTCTATAGTTGTTCCACACATAGGCATACATTGATATTTCCACACTTCTAGAAATAATGCTGAAATTCAAAAACAGAAAAATGCACATTAAAGAGGCACCACACTACCATCTACAACAGAGTTTTGTTGTAGACTTAATCATCTCCATCAAAAGATCAAGGAAGAATGGTTCCTGCAGCTAAAAACAGGACAGTTGTTTAATCTAGCAAGCAAAAAATTTAGGGAAGATTAAAAACTTATCCTGAAAGATTCTGCTCATCATCAACACGGCAGCAAAATCATCAAAAGTTCAAAATGAGATACAAAACAAATATAACATTAGCAATTATTGCAGCAGTGCTGGGGTCTGAATAAAGCGTCTATTTATATGATATCTAAGGTGAATAAAATTTAACTGTAATGCTCTGACCATCTGATTTTTATCCCAGCAAAGACCTGCCGTGATCAAAGTCTGGTATCACTAAGCTACCATTTGAGAAAACAGGACCTCAATTTTTCTTAGTTATTATTCCAAATCCCCAAAAGCTTTGGAGATGAGAGGAACAGGAGGGAGGGCATGAGAAGACCCTGTTTCACCCTGGCTGTCATGGCCCACCTGTGCCTCACTCATAGCCCTCTAACAGCTGGCCTGATTTTCAAACCAAGATATCTGTTTAACTTCACTTTGGCAGCTGGAGAACCAAGAATTTCCACACAAGTTTCAATGGCAGGTGTACTTGTCTTTTGCTGAAGCAAAACACCTGGAAGATGTTTAATCTTTGTAAGAGCCTTACAAAATATTGCTAAAGATTGTTTTTTAAAAATGTAATCCACCATATTTTTGCAATTTATAACTTGAAGTATTACCACAAAACTTAACCTAAATTCTTAATCATTTAGACAACTGGCCAGAAAGGAACTAATGCTGCTCTAAAGGGACTGGGGAGGAGAGAGAAGAACTCTCTCAACATTGTTTTGCCAGGAAATTTAAAAAAAAAAAGAAGAATATGGTGCATACAGTGGTATCACTTACCGGCTGTTATCCAGAACACAGTTACATATACTTAAAGCCCATTGAATCAAGAGGGCTTAAGAGTGCCTGACTCTGCTTGGACAATGGCCACTGGGTACTGTTTTCTCACTTTGGCCTTATTAAGTACTGTAGTATTTTTGCAACATATCCAGACATAGAAAAAAATACATTTCCTAAATTTGTCACTGAGCTCTTTTTTCCATGGGCTGTAGCTAAAGCTAGAGACTAACTCTGCAGTCCAACTTTTTTCATGAAGTTATATAAGTAAAATCTGCATATTTTAAATTAATCATTAGTATACTACAACTGTAATTGTTAATGAGTTATCTAATGTGTCAAATATGGAAAGAAATTTACAATTGCTTTATTTGGGGAGAGCGTATTACAAAAGTCAAAAGTAGCACTTAGTTATTCTAACTACGCTTTTTAAACCTCCGTTCTCCTTCCAATTACGGTCTCAAGAAAACTAAATGAGAATATTAATTAATCTGAACTTTGATGATAAATAAGCTAATTGCAAGTAAACTCTTTAATGAACAAGATATAGTCCATTTATAATCTGACAAATTCTCAGTGAAAAATAGTAAGAAAATTCAAGGGATTTATTATTAATTCTCATTTGATTTTAAATTTTCCCTATCGTGAACCAAAAATTCATCAAAAATAACATCTGCATGGGACAGTGTGAAAGATATGATGAATTATATATACAAATACATTAACTGCTATTCATTTTAGAAAACAACTATTAAAAGTATGCTTATGAACTAATAACAATAGCCAGTTTTGAATCTTCAAAAATATGTCAAAAGATAAAGAGCTACAGGATAATGAAACAAATAACAATATCTGATTTATACATTTTAATTATACATTTAATTTATATATTTTATATACAATTTATATAATAATTGTGTTGCAATAAATTCTTGATATCTGTTAAATGCTCATATCCACATCAAATACCAAAGGTTAACTGAAATCTATCAACCTAAACACACAGAAACACTAGAAACATGTGAAATACAAGTGTTCTGTAACATGGCCTCCATGAAAAAAAAGGAGGAAGAGGAACAATAGGATGTCTGGGAAGCCTCAGACTGAAAAAGAAAAATAATTTTCCTGCAATTTAAAGTCTCTTATATTTTTCAGAACAAGTGCCAGTTCGTGACTTGATACCCAATTTATTACTCCATCAACTGATTTATTAGACTTGAAATGCCCCTGACATATAATGGTCACAGCTTCTCCCCTTTCTGCTTTTTACATTCTAGTATGAAGCCAGACAATCTGGAAGTTGACAGAAAGAATGAGAAAGATCTGGGAGTTTTACTCCCTGCCTTCACTCAGTAAGGCAAATATGATCACTTTCCATTTTTAATAGACAAACACAGCTAAAAAGTGATCTATTTGCCAATAACAGCCTGGAAAACTGTTAGAATGTTGCCTGTGTTAAGTTCTTAATTACAGGAAGTAAAACCAGCACTACTTCATCCCGAACAGTATTACACTGCAGAAAGTTAGCTTAAAAGCTTTCTCACAAAGAAGAGATAAAATCTCACCACAAACATAAAATGTCAGCCCAAACATAAGTGAAAACTCAAATATTTTTCCTAAACATTTGCTTTCCTACCAAACACTTGACATTTGTTTGTTTAATTACAAACAAGGATAACCCAGTGGCTTACATCATTGACCATAATATTTTAAAAAGGATTAAAATCATTATCTAATGTTGTGCTGTATTTAGGAAATCTTATATTATCAATTATTGTTTATTATTTGTAGCACATTATTAATGTTCATGGCATTTTGCTTATTGTAACAATTAATTATTCCCATTAGTCAGGAACATATAATTTTATTTGTTAGCCATTTTGTGGACTGTATCTTGACATATCAGTTTTGGAATATTTGGGGAAAAAGAAATTTAACTGAAAACTGAGATAGTGCACATGCTATATTTTGGGATTACATGAAAAGCTAACAGACACATGTGCCTTGTCTCATTCAGATGATATCATTACTAAATTGTTTTACCAATATATCTGTCTAATCAAATTCATTTTTATTACAGCCAAAGGCCAACTAATTAATACACTGCTATTAAAAAATTTAAAATATGCTCCATTAACTTGCAGAGTATAACTGTTATTATACAAAATAATGCTCAGAGTCAGCTTCAATTGGAGTGGCTTTAAAGCCTTCTAAAACTATAGCTGTTGTTATTACTACAGAATCTTCAAAGGAAGATTGGTGAGTGAGAACTTTACCAGGTTAAACAAACTGCAGTGAAGGAAAAACAATGGGTTAGTAATTACATCAAGACAACTAATGAAACCTTATTGAAAGAATCTCAGAAAGAAAAGCTATTTGCAGAAATAAAATCTAACCTTGACTATAAAAAGCAACAACTAGAAATGAGACTAGAAAATTGGAAAACTAAAGCACTCCACGGACATTTTTTGAGAAATACTGAAGGAAAATTGGATAGCACCAAAAGACGGCAATGGCTTAGGAATGGCTCATTAAAAAAGAAAACAGAAAGAATGGTTTTTTGCTACCCAAGAAGAAGCCCTATGCACAAATGTCAACAAGCCAAAAATAGAAAATACCAATTTGGATAGTAAATGCTGAGATAACAGTGAAACAGTTGACCATTTAATAACTGGATGCAGCAAAAGCACACAGACTGGTTACAAAAAAAAAAAAAAAAAAAGGATGATTGAGTTGGCAAGATATTACACTGGCATTTATGTAGAAAGAATGGCTTTGCTGTCAATAAGAATTAATTGTAATATGAATTCAGAGAAAGTCATTCGAAATGACACAGCAAAAATATTATGAGTTTTTACAATCCAAACTGATTAATACCTGGAATATAACACACCAAACATTACTGTCATTGAAAAGAACCATGATTGCTTTATCGATGAAGCCATTCCAAAAGACAGTAATGTTGAAGACAAGGAACAGGAACCGATTTGGAACTGTTACCAAATACTGTTTGCAAACAGAGACTGCAAACATTTGGAATAAGTCTACAGTGGTACCAACTGTTATTAGGTCACTAGGCGTAATACCACAAGGACTTAGAAAGAATTTGGACTGCCTAAATTTGGAACAACTAATGACAGCCCAATTACAAGCATCAGCACATTTGGCACTTCATATATAATTAGACACTACAGGTAGTCCTCACTTAACTATGGTAATTGGGACCAGAATTTCTGTCGCTAAGCAATGCAATCGTAAAGCACAATGTCATGTGACCACATCACTTAACCATCATTAAGCAAGGATTGCGGGTGATTAAGCAAGGACCTCCTTGCAACTTCCTGCCAGCTTCCAACAAGAAAAGTCAATGAGTCCCGGGAAGTCGCAAGTCCCAGGCAGCTCGCAAACAGGCCAGCAGGTGGGTAAGCGTTCTCTATATGTTATTGGACTCCCATATGTTATTGGACTCCCATCAAACCTGATCACTACTATACTATCAGATGTATAGGATTGAATCCCAGTAACATCTGGAGTACCACAGGTTTCCCATCTCTGGCCTTGGTCTGAAAGGATATTGGCAAAGCAATAGAAATGGTTTTAATAGAAGATAATATATGTAGCTCAGTGTTGAACTGTGGAGTCCTTGCGGTTCTCTGAGCTTGGTTGTTTTCTTGCAGATGTTTCATTACCCACCTAGGTAACATCTTCAGTACTAGAAGGGAATCGGTTTTGATTGCTGGCGAGGAAATGTTCTGAAGCAGTTAATCCCCCAACACCAGGATTAACACTAGACAAACAATCAAGCAGTAAACAACACCCTAATCAAGGAACTACCAACTCAGACAGACAACCAAGCAGTAAACAACAGCCTAATCAAGGAATTACCAAAGAGAAAGCAACTCCCCCACCAACACTGACAGGGCAAGCTACTGTATATAAACAGAGAGCAAACCCCACTCCCTACTAGCACTGAAGATGTTACTTAGCCAGGTAATGAAACTTCTGCAATAAAACAACCAAGTTCAAAGGACCCCAAGGACTCCACAAAAA